AAGGTAGGCTCCGTCATACATGAAACTCTTTTTCATGCTATTTGTACGCGGTTTAGGTAAGCAAAGACTACTCGAAATATCCCGAAGATTGTAGTTTGTCATCTCACCTTTATATGTGAAAAGATTAGTGAGTGACTCCGGACCCATTTTATTTAATATTTTGTACATTAATTTTGCTTTAGCTTTTTGTCTTTCCGTTTTGAGTGGCACCCAGCTCAATGCTTGTAAAGCAACAGAATGTTCTGTGTCATTGCTCATATTCATGATAATTCGAGCAGCTCTATTTTGGAGTTTTTGGAGTCGCTTTGATTGTGTTTCCCCAAACATATCCCATACTTCACAACAATAATCGAAGTATGGCCGAACAATTGCATTATATACAGAAATAAGAGTTTGTCTATCAGTAAACTCTTTTAAACGCCGAAGAGCCGATATTCCTGCTGTTATTTTCTTACAAATATTGTCAGTATTACTTTTCCAAGACAAATGCTGGTCAACTGTCACTCCAAGAGTTTTACATTCGTAAACTTGTTTAATTGGTTTGTTTTCAATTTCAATATTAGGTTGTGAATTTGAAACACTTTTGATCATTGGCTTTGAACCAATTAACATAAATTCGGTCTTAGCTACATTTAGGCTAAGTTTATTGGCAATTAACCATTTTCTAAGGTTTTCCAAATCAGAGTTCACTGCAGTCTCAAGGTGAGGTATAGAATCTCCAGTAGCGGTTAGATTTGTGTCATCAGCAAACAACCGAGGTTTTGTATTATTTAAACATTGAGGCAAATCATTAATATATATTAGAAAGAATAGTGGCCCAAGAATAGAGCCTTGTGGTACACCACATTTGATCGATTTTTCTGATGAAATGGCTCCTTTTATTTGGCATTTCTGTTTTCGATTTGTGAGGTAAGATTTAAGAAAGCTATAGGTCAAAGCTTTTCCTTTTATTCCATGAAGTTCCAACTTTCTTAACAGAATTTGATGATCAACAGTATCAAATGCTTTTTTCAGGTCAATTAAGACTACAAAGTTAAACATTTTTCTGTCTAAGTTCATAAACCAGTCATTAGTACAGTCGAGTAATGCTGTAGCTGTAGAGTGAAATTTTCGAAAACCAAACAGAGAATTACTCAGAAGTTCAAATTTTGTTAAATAATTGTATAGTTGATCGTACAGAATTCATTCCATAACTTTACTTATAGCTGGCAAAACTAGTTTCCTGCTGCATTTTGTTGGCCATTTTTGTAGAGGTATTACTCTAGCCACTTTCCATTTATCAGGGAAAGAGGAGAGAGTAACTGCCTGATTAAAAATATATGTCAACGAATCTGAAATGGCAGGAGCTGCTATTTTAATAATTTTACAAGAAATTTTATCAATTCCAGTTGCTTTATTGCCAGAAGGTCCATGCAAGAGATGGTAGACATTACTGACGGTAACCGGCTGGAAAGCAGTGAATTCTGATTTAGAATTTTTAACATATTTTTCAAAGCTGTCATTCGAAGTATGAATATTGCTTGCTAAATCAGGGCCAATACTTGAAAAATAATCATTAAAGCCCTCTGCAATATCTTTTGGACTTGTTAAACTATTGTCACCCAGCTTTAGCTCATTCACCACTGTTGGTTTGCTTTGTCTACCTAATAGATTGTTTATGGTTTTCCAAGCATTTTTTGGATCACATTTTTGACCAGCAATTTTCGAGGAATAATAATCTTTTTTAGCATTTCTAAGCTCTATGTTCACTTTATTTCTTGTTGCTTTATAATTTTTCCAATCCTTTTCTAGGTTTGTGATAATGGCTTTCCTTTTTAAATTGTCCCTTGTAACTATAAGTTTCTTTATATCACTTGTAATCCAAGGGATTTTTTTTTATCTAATTTTTTTTGTGTTGAAGTGGTGCATGCTTCTAGGGTCTACACTTTGTAAAATTGAAACAGTGATAGCCATTAATCTCTGTGTCAAGTGCCCTTTTAATGCAATGTTTTGAAAGAAACATTGTAGTAATTGTAATGAAGGGCACAATTGGATGAGTTGTGCAGTCATAGTTTATTAATACACTGATACATATGTGCACTATGTACATACGTCATGTCGTTGACTTTGGCCCCTTGTAAGTCCTAACTTTCCATGGGGGTTGTGAGCTAGCACCTCCCTAATTTTTTTCCACCTCCCCCAAACAAACCGAACATGTTTACATGTGAACTACAAAGCATACCTCGGAGTTAATTGCAGCTTACTTGTAAAGCCTGAATTTTCTGGGAGGGGGGTTCACTCCCCTCAGAGAGTCTTCCCAACTCGCCTGGAGCAACTTCTTCCCTCCCCTAGAAATCTAAATGCTCATTGGATTAAATGCCATTATGCCTGAGTATAGTATGATATGATTGAAATAAGGATTTTGAACTAGACTAAAAACAAGGATTTTGAACTGTGAATGCCTTCTTACGGTTATCCCAACCCTGTCCACACTAGCAAATGTGTCCCCAATTACCTGCTGCTGTTTGCTCCACGGCACTACATGCCCCCTCCCTCACCTCCTCCCCTGAATTTTCAGCACCTCTCCCCACCACCACTGCCAGAGCAAAATCTGAAAATCTGTCTATCCATCAAATCTCTGGTCTTAGTTCAGTCCAGTGGTGTAACTTTACTTTTTTGACCACTTGCCCCTCAGGGGCAAGTTGGACATAAAAATTAGTTGCCCTGAGTAAAATTCACTTGCCATCAGACAATGGCCACTGGGGTACCTAGGTAGGGGTATAAATTAAGGGGACAACATGTCGACCCGTTCTCCCACTGGTATATATGGCTATGTTATACTGCCTCAGATCTAGCTTTGGCCCACAAAAAACAAAATTTGAATCTAGTACATGCACTATGTCTATAAAAAAAATTATCCGACAATGAAACATAAACTTAAAGATGCCCAGCTTTTTGTGGCCCAGCCTTTTGTGACAGCTTTTTGTGGCAGCCCAATCGGGCAAGCAAGATAAAACGTTTACTCGCCCGTCATGATATTCACTTGCTCTGGGCAAGTGTTAAGTTATACCTCCGCAGTCCTTAAGGTAATTAATTATTCGATCAGTCATAGGTTTGTGATTGTAAATGGGGCATACCGTTTAATTTATCATTTTCAATGCTTTTATAGATCCCGATTATGCAGAAAATACTGTGTTAGAAAGGCTGGAAAATTGTGATCCAAACGTTAATGCTGAATGTAAAAGAAGTTTGGAAGATTTGAGTGAACAATTGTCAATGCAATTAGGGAATGATGATGCAAAAGATGGAAATGTTGAATCAACCAAATCAGAGACTACTGGGCGTGATGCCAGTACTGGTACTTCACAAAGTAATACCAAAGTAGTACAACCACAAAAACTCAGTGAAAACATTTCAAAGAAAGAAAACGGTGGTAGTGTAGGTTTTCGTGCTGAAGAAAAAACAGGAGAAACAAGTAGCTCAAGAAAGAAGAATCCAGTTAAGAAACACGATGAAGATAGTAGTGGTGATATTCCTGATGTCTATTTCTTAAGTAAGTATGTGTACATCACTGGTAGGTCTAATAAAAGCACTGCGAATGTTTGAAATTGCTTCAAAAACGATCAATCTATAGTTGTAAGTCGAGAAAAGTTAAAGTTTTTGTCATAGTTCTTAACAAATATTGATAAGGCGTAAAAGAAATACCTGTGGTTCCGGTTCCCGACCGACCCTATTTTTTTTCGCCGACCCTATTATTTTTTCAATGCGATTGACCATGCGACCCTATTTTCTCCAGGTGGTTGCGGGCTGCTCATACAGCGTGCCAAAATGGCGTCTGTTGTCACACTAATTATTGAACCAAATTGCCTAAATTCGTCTATAGGAAATACGCATCTCTAGTTAATATTGATGTCGGGACTTTACTGCAAATCGCCCAGCAAAAAAACCCGCCAAAACCATGAAAAAAATATTCAAAAAAAATATTTAGTTTTTCGATATGAAGCCGGAATTCACGATATGAACCGGAGCCACAGGTTTTTTTTTTACGCCTAACTATATCAGAATTTTCGTATGCATGGGTCCATTTCTTAACTCACTTCAAAGCTGTATGAAGTACATGTACCTTGAAGATCAATGTCGCAAGATATAATTTTGGCCTAGTTTCTATGTATATGATAAATATTTTGTTTTCAGCGGACATGAATTATAAAAAAAAACGCTATTAGGAAACACTTCAAAGCCAAAGGTTTGATTAAATGATTTAGTGTCAAGGTGCGATAAATCGCGTACTACGTGCCGGAGGTAAGCCAATATTACGATCTGGTACTTCTTTGTTTTTAACTACGTACCACATAAGGTACGCGGAACTCTTGCTAGCTGTGTACTTAAATGTTCCTGGTATATAGGTAGTGTACGTCTGACATGTCTTGGTATGAAACATGACTGCATGGACTGATAGGATTAAGTGATGCTGCAGTCAATTGTATATATATAGTGTTAAATACCTTTCAGAAACTTCTCTATAGTGTAGGTCATTTTAAACACTTTGAGTCTTAAGTTTGTACAGTGCATGTACAAGACAGTAATCAATGACAATGGAGTACCAGTCACTCAGGTACGACTAAAAATCTTGAATTGTTACTCTTAGAGTGTTAGAGGCACCTTTCTGGTGCGTTTTATACAAAGTTTAGTATTAAAGAGAGTGCTTAAATTCAACGATTGACGTTACTCTATAATACTATGCGGATGCCCTAAATGAGCTTTTTTTGAGCGATTTCAAGATACGTTTTCCTCGGATATAAAGTATATCCTATATTGACTATTGTTTCAGGAGAAACACATTGTCATTCGATAAAAAAACTTTTTTGAGTTCACCACAAGGATTCAGCAAGGAATCAACACACTCGAATATTTCATATTTGTTGCAATCGTGTGAAACGTTCAATACAGTATACAGTTATTTCAATTAAGTCTACTCTCGTTCCTGGTTGCCAGAGGTTCTCGTACCTTTCGCCTTATTCCCGCTCGTATTTATTTTACGCGAGGCGAAGAGAACCTCTGGTGGCACGCGATACAAATCTCTCTTCCTTTGGTACAAAATTTGTACCAAGCACATGATTGGTTAGTTATAATTAGCAGTCAGATGAAGTGATGTGATTGGCTAGACAAAAAAACCTGTTTATAAATCTCAGAGACATGATGTAAACAAAATACAGAAATAATACGAACGTATTAAAATGCTT